GTTGGCGCAGGAAACCATACTGCCTGTCGCTAATCAAGCTGTGACGTTCGAGGTAGTTGAGAAGCTCGCGATTTATGCACCTCTCCATCACCTTGCACACGAAAATGGTGGAAGGCTACTGTGTGAGAAGTTATTTTCAATCTGCTTGGCCAAAATTTATTATTTTATTATATATTATAATGGGTGATTTTTTTGCTAGTATCTTTTTGGCAACACTGTTTTTGACAGATGACGCGTGAATCGTGTCTTGTGTCGTTGTCAAACTTGTTCAGTTTGGTCTATAATTTAACCATGAATCGACTTATAAACGAACAACGCTTACAAATTATTGAATCTTACTATGAAAATTCATGCTCGGTTAAGAGAGTGCATCGAGCACTGCTTCCAATTTATGGGCAATTTGGTCGGCCTACTGAGGGAGCTATCGGAAGCTTGTGACTAAATTTCGAACCCAGTTTACATACCACCAACACGCAGACGTAGAGTGAGGACTGAAGAAAATATTGCGGCTGTATCCGCCTGTGTTAGTGATGACCTTGAAATGTCGATTCGCCGCCGTTCGCAGCAATTGGGCCTCTGTTACTCCACTACTTGGAAAATTTTGCGACAGGATTTGAGTGTAAAACCTTATGAGATACAGCTGGTGCAAGAATTGAAGCCACACGACCTCCCACAACGTTTCCAATTTGGTGAATGGGCGCTGGCAAAGTTGGAGGAAGATCCACATGTTTATCGAAAAATTGTGTTCAGCGACGAAGCTCATTTCTGGTTGAATGGGTACGTTAACAAGCAAAATTGCCGCATCTGGAGTGAAGACCAGCCAGAAGCATTGCAAGAGCTACCAATGCATCCCAAAAAAATCACTGTTTGGTGTGGATTATGGGCCGGTGGCATCATCGGGCCGTACTTCTTCAAAGACGACAATGGTCGGAACGTAACTGTGAATGGCGAGCGCTACCGTGCGATGATAACAATTTTTTTTTGCCCAAAATGGAAGAGCTGGACTTGGCTGACATGTAGTTTCAACAAGACGGTGCCACATGCCACACCGCACAATGGCCGCAAGTTCGGTTAACAGTTTATCTCACGTTTGGGGTCCGTCAATTGGCCGCCTAGATCGTGTGATTTAACGCCGTTGGACTATTCTTGTAGGGCCATGTTAAGGCTAATGTCTACAGGGATAAACCAGCAACGATTGACGCACTTGAAGCCAATATTGAAGCATTTATTCGTGAGATACCGGCCGATATGTTGGAGAGAGTGTGCCAAAATCGGACCTTGCGCATGGGCCATCTAAAGCGGAGCCGCGGCCAACATTTACATGAAATAATCTTTAATCATTAAATTATATCGACCGTTATATCAACTCAAATAAAGATTGATCGTTTTTTCAATTTTTTTGAAAATCAAATCCTATACCTCTTAAAAAATCACCCGTTATTATTATTTACTAATTATATGACCCGATAATGGCAGAGTCATGCCGAGCTTTCGGCATCGAAATTAAGGAGAATTATTCATAAGTGTTTCATTCTTAGGAATATTTTAAGCAGAAAGAATCTTCTCTCAATATATAACTCGTTTGTGGGGTCTCTACTAACTTACGGAATAAGTATATGGGGAGCCGCATACACCAGTACTTTAAAAATACTAAAAATCACGCAAAATTATATCGCCAGGACTATTTTTCGTATACCATGTAGGTCAAGTTGCAGATTCGTTTACATTGAAAATGATCTTTTGAATGTTAGAGGTTTATATATTTTTGCGGCTCTGAAATTTGTTCACTCCAGAAACAATGTTCCAACCAGCCACGCTTATGAAACAAGAACTAAAATAAATATAAGTTACACTTATGCCAGAGTGAATAAATCTGTTTGCCAAAAATGCGTAAAGTTTGATGGTATTAGGTTGTACAATAAATTACCCCTAGAATATAAAATCCTCTCGAAGTATAGTTTCAAAAAAAAAATTAAGAAGTTCATCTTAAATAACGTTGACATGCTTGCATCGACTGTAGCTTGACTCAACTCAGTCATTTAGTTTCTATCTAATGTTTTTATTTCTTTTTTATATACATTTGCTCATAATATACTTTATGACCATTAGCCATGCATTGAATTTGTATATTGTGTGACACATACAAGCTTATAGCTTAGGTGTCTATTCTTTTGTAGTAAATAAATAATAAATAATAATAATCTCACCACGCACAGGCTTTGCCTGGTGTGTGTATTTCATGTTCAAAAATACGGCAAGGCATGCCTACATGCCTAGTAAAGTAAACATTAATATTGATCTTGAAAGTATTAAAAGCGATTGTGTGAATCATTAATTATTTCCAGAATTTTATATGGAATCATATATTATCTCAGCTTGGATCAAATTTTTGCCTACGGACTACAAAAAATTCAAAATTCTTGTTGCCACTTGACTAGTAATCTAAGAATATAACCGCTCATTCCCTACTACGTTTAAGGAACAATCTAACTTTGAGAACAAGCATTCGTGAGTTAAATTTAAGGTATATGAGCACATTGTCCATATCAAGACATCGCAAATCATCATGGATTCAAGTCACTATTACAACCAAATATTTTAAACACAGTAAAATTGTTATTTTTTTAACGGAATGTCTCATATTATGAGTGTAAAAAAAGCGCTAAACATTAATAGTTTGCCCATCCGCCATTTTGAAAGGTCACGGCTTACCATTCGTCTCCTCTCTTTCACTCTTAAATTTTCGACACCATTTCTTGACAGTTTGATACTCAAAACACGCCTTCAGCACACAACAATTGAATGACCGCACGCTGATTATATTTGGACGGATTATTAGCAACAAACGTCATTTTTAGGTCACAATACTTAAATTCGCAGTCAAATGCAAATGACAGTAACTGATCAATGTGACGTTTACAAACACAGCTAACATTGCAAAACGTCAGCTAAGTGATTAGAATTGTTTCCATGTCTAACATGACCAAAGATGGGTTTCAATTGAACAAACCTCGTATATTTACGTATTATAATGTACTCATAAAAGGCTTTAAAATGAGATATCACATGATACACACCGTTTCTATTTAAAAAAAATGTTCCAACAACCCGCCAACTTGAAATTTTCATCTTCCACCTTTACGCTAAAGTACGAGCCCCTTCCCACTTCAGTCGGCCCAACTATTGAAATCTTAGTTTTTTTCTTATCAAACACAAATAATAAAAATGTAGCAGGGTGTTATAGGTTTAAAATATAAACAATGAATATTTTGATAATATACTAAGTGACATATCATTTAATAAAAGTTGGTGAATGTATTTATCTTACTGTAAATAACAAGTGAAAAAAATGTCAGCCTTATCAGTTGGACATTCCGGTTTTTATACTGCTTTTTTTTAATTCACTAACGCTCTAAAAATGAATATTTCAGCCGCAGTAAAGAATCAACGTTGGCGGATTTTGGTTCTTGACATCCTTTACGATCGGTTACGATGCCTAGAGTACGGAGACCTGTACGATTTCGTCAACTTAGTGAGTTTGACAGGGGCCGTATAGTGGGACTTCGGGAAGCTGGACTTTCTTTTCGGGCAATTGCAGTTAGAGTGCAAAGAAATGTACACACTGTGGTTAGGTGTTGTCAGGCATGTCTTCGAGAAGGCCGTACGCAAAGAGCAAGAGGCACTGGACGCCGCCGTAGAACAACAGACCGTGAAGATCGCCGCCTAAGATTATTGGCCTTAAGGGACCGTTTCTCCGCTACCAGGTCCATTGCAAATGAATGGTTTGCAGAACACGGAAGACCTATTGGCATGCGAAGTGTTTACCGACAAATGAGAAGTTTTGGCTTGTTTTCATACCGGCCACACTGGGTCCTCCCTTTAACTCGAGAACACCGACGTAATCGCCTTGAGTGGTGCAGACAACGGTCACTCTGGGATCAGGAATGGAACAGTATTGTCTTTAGTGACGAGTCTCGATTTTGTTTAGGCATGCACGATGGTCGTGCCAGGGTTAGAAGGCGACGTGGTGAAAGGAGGAATCCACAGTTTTTTGTTGAAAGACATGTTCATCACACTGTTGGAGTTATGGTTTGGGGAGCTATAGCTTATGGTTCCAGGTCACCTTTAATCTTCATCAAAGGTAACATGAACGCGCAGCGTTATATCCACGAAGTTCTAGAACCCCATCTTTTACCCTATCGTGACACCCTGGCAGATCCAACTTTCCAACAAGATAATGCCCGACCACATGTTACAAGAGTCACAATAGACTTCTTTCAACATAATGATGTCACATTGTTACCATGGCCACCAAGATCTCCCGACTTATCCCCAATTGAGCACGTGTGGGATATGATGGGTAGGAGATTGCTCAATTTGCAACGTCCTCCTCAGACTCTAGAAGCACTTCGAGAGGAGTTGGTGGTTGCCTGGAATGAGATACCACAGGAGGACATTGACCACCTGATCAGAAGTATGCCTAGGCGCGTTGGAGAATGCGTAGCACATCAGGGTGCATCCACACATTATTAAAGGTCAAAGGGCTTTAAAGCAGTGCAATCAATTTGAAATTTGTATCATTTACTTATTATGCTTCATTAAGTACTTATACAAAATTTTATTAAAATAAAACCATTTAAACTGGGTGTTCGGATTTATATGTCACTTAGTATAGTTTCGTCATGTTTAGTTTATAAAGGCATATTTTGGTACAAATCTTGAAGTGGGCCAACTGAAGTGTGAAGGGACTCGTAAAATATCCAATCCCTCTCTCAATTTGAGTAACGGAGGAAAGCTAATGAACAATCAGTTTTCTAGCACAAAAAAGAAGGTTCCTATGCTATCCACATAAATATTTCAATCTAAAATGACATCGATTCTCGGAAAACGGATAATATTTCCCTGAATATAAAATGCCCCGCCTATAAAAACGCATAAAGATATTTTCCAAACATCTCGCATTCGACCGAACCTTGACAATGTTTTGACAACATGACCGTGTAAACTATATCCAACAAATAGCAAACTGAAACAAAACAATCTGCATAGTTGCAGAAACGGCAATATAAAATCACTACACTATCGAAGTGGCAATCAGTCTCGCGCTAACGTTCCGATATGCATCTTCCGACGTGTCTTCTTGCATTCGTTCTGGTCGCCGCCAGTTTTGCGACCGAGATAGATGAACATCACTTCAACAACACTAAAGAGAAAGACGCCGAGGTTGGGGCTTCACTGAAGGAAGATGTCCGGGCTGAGGTTGAAAAGGAAGATAAGGGACTGGCGGAAAATGGGATCGAAGAAAAACTAGAAGAAATCTCTAGGTGAGAATATTCTTCAAATTACCGTTTTTACATAAATTTCTTGTCATTGGAGTTCACAGTTTCCTCTGATAAAGTCGACATTTCGGAAAAGTTAAATTCCTTTTTCAACACTTTGCAGAAAAAAAATTAAAACACTACCTTTATATATGCATTAATTAACAGTTTAAATATACAATCGAAGTAAAAGATAGTTATTTTTGTTGAGACATTATACAGGGTGCCCCAGAAGTCGACGTCAAGCCGAAACCGGGTGATAGGCAAAGTCATAACAGCTATCAGAAAAATATTTAAAAAAATTTTATGTCATGTGTTTTGAAAATTATAGGTCTTTGAAAAAAATATAGAAATTTCACACCGTACGGCAGTCTGTCAACTCCTGTCACTACAAAGATTAACTTTTTTTGGATTTTATTTTTACAATGTAATGATGAATAATGCATCTTCAAACTGGTGTCTCAACCTTACTGCCAACTTTTCTCGTTCAGGAAAAATTGCCACTTATTTCCCAACCAAGTATTCCAAAGTAAAACTTTGCTCAACTTTAACTGGCTGTACTGGAAAAAAGTGTACTACGAGAGTTTGGCAAGTAACTTTAAAAGTTGGCGCATTTAATAAGGATTCCAAAATGGTATAAAACTTAGAAGATTACTCGTTAATAACGATTCCAAAATGGTATAACACTTAGAAGATTACTCGTTAACTTATGCACAATTTTTATTTGAAAAAAAACTGATGAAAATTTTTCAAAATTTCCTAATTAAACAGCGATTATGAAAACGCACAAGGACCCTTAAGGATAACTGTTTGCACAACAGTGGGCGTCAAAATGCTGCTGATGATGATTTACCTTTACAGCAAATGCTCAAACCGTTTTCCTTCAGCCGCAATACACGCTCGACATCTTCTTAAAAAAGATCGGGTTATTAAACGAGCGAATCCACGGTTATTAACAAACTCAGCTGCTTCCAAGAGTATTTGCCGTAGCTCAGCTACATTTTGAATCGGCTTGAAATACGCTTTTTCTTTTACAGTTCCCCAGTAAAAAAATCTAAAGGATTCAAATCCGGTGATCAGGCTGGCCACGGTATTGTACCAGACCGCCTTATCCATCTGCCTGGAAAATTTTGATCGAGATACTCTCTCACTGAGAGTGCATAGTGCGCTGGGCAGCCATCATGCTGAAATCACATGTCCCTGTAAGTACTCAGTGGCACGTCCACCAATAAATTTTGTACATGATTTTTCAAAAAATCCAAATAAACTTCAGCAGTCAAAGACTCTGGGAACTCAAACGGACCGATTATTTTACCATTTAAAATTCCTGTCCAATGGTTTATCTTGAAGCGATATTGAGATTTATCTTCTCTCATCAAATGTGGGTTTGCTACGTGCCACTCGTGTAAGTTATGCAGGTTCATGTACCCATCTTTCTTAAATGTGGTCTCATCTGACCATAAAATGTTTTCAAAGAACCGTGGATCTTCCCTGTGTCTTTCTAACATTGTGCGACAAAAAGCAACTCGGGGCTCATAATCCCGGGGCAGAAGAGCTTGAACACGCTGTACGTGGTGTGGATGGAGCACGTTTTTTTGCAAGATTCTATGGGCTGTACTTTTGGGCACACCTGTTTTTAGTTCTATTGCACGCACTGAAGTACTCGGGTCTTCTTCGACAGCTCCTAGCACCACGTCTTCGTAAGGAAGGAAATATCTTCCCTCACCGTGTGATTGGTTTGGTAGTTGGCCCTCTGAGAACAGTAAGCGGTGCACATTTGTGAACACTCGATGATCTGGATGACGAGCTGCATTCGGGTACCTCTCACAGTAAAGTCTCGCTGCAGCACTAGCGTTGCATCTGCATTCCCCATAAATGAGGTGCATGTTCGCATATTCTTGTACGGCGTACACGGACATTGCGGCACTGCACAATCACACTATCAAAGATAGTCTAAGGAAAGCAAATGTTGTTTTGAAGAGCAATTAAATAGTCCAAATCCAAATCACAAGCGATCAACAGTCCAGTTCACGAATCCAGAATTAGTAACAGTACGAAATCAACAAGCACGAACATGTAAAGATGCGCAGTAAACGAAGGAGTACTGATCGGTATCAAAGTGTGCAATAGCAAGTAAGTGATGTGCTTCATCCATACCACATACAGCGTGTTCAACCTCTCCTGCCCCGGGATTATGAGCCCCGAGTTGTTTTTTGTCGCACAATGTTAGAAAGACACAGGAAAGATCCACAGTTCTTTGAAAAAATTTTATGGTCTTATGAGACCACATTTAAGAAAGATGGGTACACGAAGCTGCATAACTTACACGAGTGGCACGTAGCAAACCCACATTTGATGAGAGAAGATAAATCTCAATATCGCTTCAAGATAAACCATTGAACAGGAATTTTAAATGGTAAAATAATCGGTCCGTTTGAGTTCCCAGAGACTTTGACTGCTGAAGTTTATTTGGATTTTTTGAAAAATCATGTACAAAATTTATTGGTGGACGTGCCACTGAGTATTTACAGGGACATGTGGTTTCAGCATGATGGCAGCCCAGCGCACTATGCACTCTCAGTGAGAGAGTATCTCGATCAAAACTTTCCAGGCAGATGGATAAGGCGGTCTGGTACAATACCGTGGCCAGCCCGATCACCTGATTTGAATCCTTTAGATTTTTTTACTGGGGAACTGTAAAAGAAAAAGTGTATTTCAAGCCGATTCAAAATGTAGCTGAGCTACGGCAAAGACTATTGGAAGCAGCTGAGTTTGTTAATAACCGTGGATTCGCTCGTTTAATAACCCGATCTTTTTTTAGAAGATGTCGAGCGTGTATTGCGGCTGAAGGAAAACAGTTTGAGCATTTGCTGTAAAGGTAAATAATCATCAGCAGCATTTTGACGCCCACTGTTGTGCAAACAGTTATCCTCAAGGGTCCTTGTGCGTTTTCATAATCGCTGTTTAATTAGGAAATTTTTAAAAATTTTCATCAGTTTTTCTTCAAATAAAATTGTGAATAAGTTAACGAGTACTCTTCTAAGTGTTATACCATTCTGGAATCGTTATTAAATGCGCCAACTTTTAAGTTTACTTGCCAAACTCTCGTAGTACATTTTTTTCCAGTACAGCCAGTTAAAGTTGAGCAAAGTTTTACTTTGGAATACTTGGTTGGGAAATAAGTGGCAATTTTTCCTGAACGAGAAAAGTTGGCAGTAAGGTTGAGACACTAGTTTGAAGATGCATTGTTCATCATTACATTGTAAAAATAAAATCCAAAAAAAGTTAATATTTGTAGTAACTGGAGTTGACAGACTGCCGTAGGGTGTGAAATTTCTATATTTTTTTCAAAGACCTATAATTTTCAAAACACATACATAAAATTTTTTTAAATATTTTTCTGATAGCTGTTATGACTTTGCCTATCACCCGGTTTCGGCTTGACGTCGACTTCTGGGACAACCTGTATAGAATAAAATAAAGTATATTGTATAGGGACAAGAGGAAGGTACTTAAAGGCCAGATTATCAGACCATAAAAGAGATTGTAAGAATGTCCACCTAAAACACACACCACAACACAATAATGCAGTAAATAAAAAAACAGACATAGGGCCGTATCGTCACTTGCTCCTACAAATTGTAGGACGCCTTCATTTTCATAGTTTTTCCTATCCTTCAGAAAGGCAGAGGTATTTCTAGATTTCTTCTGTTTCGTCTCGGCGCTCTATTTTGAGGTTATATTTTCTTTCTGAATTCTACGAAATGTGAAGCTGATAAAACCTGGTTTTTATCATCTGACAAGATCTAGGATTCAGAAAAAACGTAACCTCACAATAGGAGAATGATACGGCCATTATGTACATCATTAATTTCATGAAGACGAAATAACCACCAGCGCATATTCATCAACAAAAAGGCATAATGTCAAATATAACAAAAACTACCTCACATTCTCACTATTCAGAAATAATTTCTCCTTCCCATCAATATGTGGCTAGCTGTATCTCGTTTGTTAGATTGATCAGTTGCAGTCTAAATGATTATAACGTTGGATTATTTGTTGTACAACCACAGTTTTGAAGTAAAAGGGCGAGTTTGCTATAGTTTTTTTTCTAATAATCGAACAAGGAAAGACCTTCTTATTCGTTTTTCAAATATCTAACTAATGGACTTACCTTTGTTTTATTTTTAATTTCTTTTGACTGTATATTTTGGAAATTGCTGTGTTGTTAATGAAATTCGGGGATGATTTTAAATAGCTCATTTTATATAATATAAGTGAGTATTTTTTCTTCGATTTTATTATTTAAATTGTTAATTAATGTATATGTTAACTTAGTTTTTTAAATTTTCTTTTGGAGGAGGAAATAAATTTTTCAGAAACGTCGTCAACTTTATAACAGGAAACGGTTTTTCTTTAGACCCCAAATCCAATCAGTTACAAAAAGAGACTATTGAAAATTTGTTTAAACTAGTAGGACACACTTTTTCGTTTTTCATTTTTCATACTTTTTGTAATATTGAAGAGGAACTTATTTGTAATAAGTTGTTCCAAAAATATCACACATTTTATGCAGTTAACCTAGATTTGAAAAATATCTGATATGAATCCACACGCATATTGCTCTGGCTCTAGAAAAATTGTTACTAACGTTTTAGCTGTCTCTATATCCTTTTCAAAAAAAAAAAAGTAATTTTATTCATTTTTAACACGCTTTTATTAGCTTGATATATATGTAAGACAGATTAACTTGAAAATTTACGTAATAATCTTGGAAAAAATCGAATATACAATTTTTTTTTAAATTCCAATTAGGAAATTTGGAAAAAAAATCATAAAATAATTGTAAAATAATAGAAAATAATTTGAAGATTTGAAAATTTTGAAAAAAATTTGGAAACAAAAAAATTCGGAAATTCCGAAATTTTAAAAATATACCAAAAATCAAAGCTCTTGATTATACGTAATTTTGTTGTCGAATTGAGACAAAAAATTCAGAAAAT